CGACTAACAACAGAGCCCTCCCGCCGGCCCTTGTCAGGATCCATCGCGTCCCCATGGTCCTAGTGCCAGCGGAGACGAGGCGGACCTGTGGCGGAGCCGGCGAGAGGCACAAACCCTAGCTTTTCTTGGAGGAGAAGGCGACGGCTGGACTTGTTAGAGGCTTCAAAGTTTTCACCCATGTCAATGTCCGCAACAGCAAATGGCAGGGTTCTGGAGGCCTGTTATCTCATACATCCATGCACGTGGTTGACAGAATGGTATCGCTGGACGCAAACAATAGCGAGTGAAACAATGGTGTTTATGTGTGAGGAGGTAGAGCAGATGTGATCTGATCTGGGATGGCGGCTAGGGTAGCTAATCCCACCGACCCGTTCTTGCCGGACAAAAAATAAGGGCTCGCATAACATAGGTTTGAGCTCAGCTTGTTCACGAAACATGACATGTGGCAGGCAGAGGAGGATGAGCACGCGAGGACTACTTCTCTTCTCAAACTCGAATAACGTATAGAAGACAATCTCTTATAAAAATAGGTCTCCACTCTATTCCACTCATAAGATGGGAGTAAACTTTACACTACCATGTCATGACAGACACCTGGCCCTCAAAATTTTCATGAATTATTTCATATATGGGCCCTAGACCCATCTATAATTCAACAGTATCAAACACCTGCATTACAAAAAGTGTTTATTCTATTCTTCTAGTGAGCGTATAATTTTGTGCATTACAAAGAGTATAAATTTTAACAAACTCGACTTTATTACTCCCTCCATTTTTATATACAAGGTCATAAACTCATATTACAAGTACTCCCTCCGTCCCGGTTTAGAAAGCGCGCTTGGAAATTCTCTGGGACCTAGGTGGTTATATATTGGTTGTGAGATGGGCTAAAAGTTAGCATTCACACTACGCATGCATATAAAAGTAGTATATCGAAGTACTAATTAGCTACTAGAAATAAATGCAATGCACCATAAACCTTGTCTATTGTGGAAACGCACGCAAGTTTAACCGTGCCTTCTAAACTGTGTGACGGAGGGAGTATCAATGTAAAATTTAATGTCTGCTTTGCAAGTCAGTTTCTCTTTTTGTTTATTGAGATCATTAATACGTTGCATGCACGCAAGGAAACTGAGTGAAGGGAGTAGCCGACTCTCATTATGACTATATGCATGCAATCATTAAACAGGTTGCTAGTATGAGAGAATGTCATTAATTTTGCATCGATTACTGTCGATGGCTTTGTATAGATTCATAATGTATATTTTATAATGTCATTGTATAAGTACAATAGCAACAAACTTACCGAGCTACGAAGAGCGTAGAATTTCGATAAAACGCAGCATAAACTCTGCGAAATTCTGAAAGCTCAGGGTTTCCAAACATGGCCCAGAACAGTGGGATCGTCGGGCACATGAATCTAACGGAGTACTTTTTGCCGGGTATTGAATGTGCCGCGTACCCATTTTCCCTGCGCCGAATAAGTGTACCGGCGTACTTGAAAACGATAAGGGTCGATGGAGCCAGACACCTCTAGGGGCGCAGTAGCTGTAGCACCAGCTGCTAGCTAGGTTGGGGCTGGGTACGCTTTACTCGGCCGGGCGCGCCCCAGGAGTTCGTTCATGCCCGGCCCCTACGCTCGCACGCACGTGTAGTGCTCGGATGCGAGGCAAGGACACGCGGTCACACGGTCCATGCGTCCGTCCGAGACAGCCCACCCTGCACCACCTCACCATCGACTCATCAGTCACCACCGACCTCCTCCCAAAACCTCTAGATCATCAGCCGGACCGTATATATGCATGTGCATGTATGTATGCCACTTCCGCTTTGCCTTTGCATTGCATGCTTGATGCATTGTTTTTTTAATCAAATACGCATGAGAGCGTATCATTGCATTGATAGAAGGGAGAAAGTACGGATTGACATCATGGTCGCGTACACAGATTGGGGCGGCCGTGATGCCCAAGCGAGCAGAAGATGAGGGGATGCTCAGCCCTAAATACATAGTTTCACGTTACAAAAATAAGAGCGTTCAATCCTTTGGCTTCGGCACAGGGGGAGCAGGAGCGAGCATCGTCCTTGATTCCGTCGATGAGAGATGCGGTAGGCGGCATGATTTTGTTAAAGATGAGTGCGTTGCGGTGTCACCATAGGGCCCAAGCAGTGAGTGCGGCCATGGTGGAGAAGCCTGCCCGCTTGGCCGGAGGCACCTGATGGAGGGTCGAGTGCAACTAGTCAAAGAGTCCCAGGGAACCGTCAGGCGCGGCGATCTCATGGCGGCACCAAGAAAGAATGGCGTGCGAAACGACACGGGCGAAGACGCACCCCAGGAGAATGTGGTGCAAGATCTCGACCTCCTGAGAGCATAACACGCATGCGGGCTCATGCGGCGGGCCATGCCGGGCAAGGCAGTCAGCCGACCAACAGCGGTTGAGGGAGGCTAGGACACTGGCGGCTTGTGTGGAAGTCCGGCGCCCCCCTGTCGACCGAGTTCTCCGTCCACCCGATGCATTGTGCCTGCACAATTATCCTGACATGCATGCACAAAGAAGAGCCAGGCATGACCCGATAATCCTACACCTACAAAGTGGCTACGAAGGCTTGGATAAATTTTTGAACTGATACCTCCATTTTAAATATAAGTCTTTTTAAAGATTTTAATATAGACTACATACAGATATATATAAACGTAGTTATAGTGTAGATTCACTTATTTTGCTTCATATGTAGTTCATATTGAAATATCTAAAAAAACTTATATTTAAAAGCGGAGGAAGTATAAACCTCTTGGCCCCTGATTTTCATGAGGGTGGCCCCCCTCCCTCATATCGATCCAATAAGCCCCCTCCATGATGCTGGTTACGTAAAGACTTTATGTAGGTCTAGACCTGCCACCAGTTCATGACCAATTTTACTGAAAAAATGGGAGAGGTGTCCATGCACTCTACAATGTAGGAGCATATGTCACATGCGCAACCTCATCTCACAAAAGCTGGAATCTTATGGTGTCAAACGGGAAGGAAAATAAACGGTTTGCACCACCAAAATGTCCAACAAAAAGGATGGAAGAAGCAGCGGTGCATGTGTATGTGCTCCATCATTGTCCATGCATATCATATCTTCCAAATTGAGACAAGTTGATCGACCATTCCTTTAACGTTGGACAACTAGCATGCAGTTCCTGCATGAATATGGAAGGCTCAAGCCTGCTAGGATCAGGCACGTCTTACCACTTCTATACAAGCTCTAAACGCATAGAAGGATAGCAGACAATGGTGCGCATCAGCCACGACTCTACCATTATGGAGGCCCCAGTGTGATTGATGTACAATGAACCTTAACATAATGATATATATTATTTCAGCAATATATATTGCATATCCTGAAAATATATAGTTACATAAACATTTAAAACGTAATTTAGTTAGCAATACAGTCTCAATACACAATCTATATAAGATTATATGATGCAAATATTGAATATATACAACG